TCAAATGGGAAGTTTGCCGCTACTTTTGAAGCCGTCAGTTGCGTTAAGTAGTTCATCAGTAGACACTGATGAATTGTCAAGTACTCTGGATCTATTGGCCGTTGCGCCTACTGGAAGTGGAAAGACTTTGGCATTTTTAATACCGGTTATTAATGAGATAGTACAAAGACGCAGAACTTCTGATAAGAATCATGATTTGGAGGCTGTTATAATTGCACCTACGAAGGAGCTCGCTAATCAAATTGTTAACGAGGGAAAGAAGCTTAGCATTGGAACTGGAGTTAAAATTTTGGGAATGAAGAAAGGGATGAAGATAATACCGAGTGCCAGCACCGAGGAAAAGGACCAGTCAGAGGATGATGAGGATGATGACGAATCTGTCGATGGGGCTGCTTCAGCTAGTCAGCCACTTACCAAGACTGATATATTGGTTACAACACCTTTGATCTTCCTTCATGCCTTGTCTTTAGGATCTTCAGATAGTCATGCTCCACTACCGACCGTTCGTACATTGGTCTTCGATGAAGCAGATGTTCTTCTGGACCCATTATTCAGAGAACAGACATTAGGTATCTGGAATTCATGCATCAATCCTGATCTACGAGTCACTCTTTGGTCGGCAACGATGGGTTCAAATATTGAGACTCTCGCCTCAGCCACGATACAAGCCAGACAAGAAAAACTAGGCCTCGAGAAACATTCAAACCTTGTTCGTCTTGTAGTTGGACTTAAAGATTCTGCAATCCCTAATATTACACATCGTTTGATCTATGCTGCGACAGAACCTGGTAAACTTATTGCTCTTCGACAATTGCTTCGACCCACGGCAAAAACTACAGATGGAACAGAATCTTTACGACCTCCGTTCCTCGTCTTTACACAAACGATACCCAGAGCTATTGCCTTACATGCTGAACTTCTGTATGATATCCCCGCTGAAGCAGGTGGTTCTACCAGAATTGCAGTACTACATTCAGATCTTTCAGACTCGGTCAGAGATCAAGTCATGACACGATTCCGTAATGGTGAGATTTGGATCTTGATTACCACAGACATTCTGTCCCGAGGTGTCGATTTCAAAGGTATCAATGGTGTAGTCAACTATGATGTTCCAAATTCAGGAGCAGCTTATATCCATCGTGTAGGACGTACTGGGCGAGCTGGTCGTGATGGTGGTATCGCAGTGACATTTTATACCAAAGAGGATATCCCATATGTTAAAAATGTTGCAAATATCATTGCAGCATCAGAGAAACAAGCTGGAAAACCAGCAAGTGAAGCTAGTATGCAGAAATGGTTATTAGATGCATTACCAACGCCTAGCAAGGAAGAAAAGAAAAAGTTGAAGAAATATGGTGTTGAAGCTAGACGAGGGGGTTTGGGTAATGCAAAGGATGGGAAAGATGGAAAAGATAAGGGAGGAAAATCGAAATCAAGAATGCAGATCAGTACGAAGAGTGGTTATGAGAGGAAATTGGAAAATAATAGGAAAGGTGCTATTCAAGGAAGTAAGAGACGAAAGCAGGAGAATGTTGGGAGTGGTGGGGAAGTGGATGATGATGTTTTTGAGGGTATTGAGGATTAAGTTGACAGTTAATTAATGGATAGTTTGGTGAATGTCACTATATCAATTGATGGAATCACAATACGTGAAGCATTTTGATCGGAAATTGATGTACTGCTCGAACCCGTGCTAAAGGGTTAGTAGAAGTCTATGGGTTTTCTTCTCTTGTGGTTTCCATGACTTTTCGCTTCAATTTCATAACCGCAATCGAGACATCTAATCTACCATTAATATCAAGGAAGAGAAAGAGAAAAATAAACTTCATCTTCATCTCCATCGACGTCTCTCTTTCACTTCTCGCGTCTTTTCGATAGATAATTCGATCAATTTACTTGAACGAACGAAATAAAGAAGCGTTCAGCCTCCCCAACCATCTCTTTGTTATATATGTGCCATGCAAACCTCCACAACAAAGCCTCTCCTTCCCTGTCTCGCCTAATTCCCTTCAAATCTTCTCCTTTCTTCAAAGAATCTAAAGTTAGACTCTGCGGATCAAATCTCTAGTTTATTGTTCTCCAGGTTATTATTACCCAATGATTCTTTGTGGATATAGATTTCGACTCGCTAACCCCTTCTTTCTTTCTTTCCTTTCTTTCCCTTCTTTCCTTTCGACCCCCTTTTCTTCAAAGAATCCAGAAATAGACTCTGCGGCATTGTTAAGCCTCTTGTTCCTCGAATATCTCTTTGTATGTAGACTTCGAATCGAATCGGAACAATTACGTGAATATCTTCTGGCAAGAGTATAAATGAGCGAGATGTTCTTGGAGTGTTAGGTTTTGTTATCTTCATCGGTATTACTATCTAGTCCTACATTCAGCTATCACTAAACCAAATCATCATATCAGATCACTCACGCTCACTCTATCACCACACCTAACCAAACCAAACCAAACCAAACCAAACCAAAGCAAAAATGACATTCTCCTACGTCTGCTGTTCCTGCGCCGAAACCAACGAAACTGCCTCTATAAGCGACACTGGCTTTTCCAAGATCTGTAAACATTGTAATACGCATTATCGGTGTATTAAGTGTTACTTTTTCTTGATGGGGAAGATGACGTATCAGTTGGGGCATTGGGGGGCTAAGTATACTTAGAGGTGTATGGAGAGAAGAGGGAAGAGTCGAGATAGGAGAGGGGAAAGCATTAGAGCTGGACTCTTTGATGAGGAGTCTTTTTTTTTTCAGAGAGAGAGGGGATGATGAGTTTCTAGTAGAACTCGAACGGAGATAGAAAAAGGAATTAAAATATGAAAGAAGTTTCCTGGATATAGAATGTTTAAAGAGCGAGAGTGAAGTTAAGTGAAATAATTAAGAATGTGAAAAATGTGAACATCTCAACCACGGAAAGAGAAATTAAGCGAATCTTTGTTATTTCAAGACTTTAGAGGTACTGAAACTTCATATTATCATATGCTTTACTTTTACTTTTCCTGTCGGTTGGAGTTATAGAGTATAGCGTGAGAGAAAAAGAGTCCGGAAAAGAATTGTAGATAGTGTAATCCCATATGATGTGAATGTTAAACAATGTCTTCGAATGCAGGGATTTGACATTTGACATTCAACATAAATGTAGATATTTTTAACCTGTTCAAGACGTGGAAAAAGAGCAGACTGATGATTATTCATCAATCTCTACTCCCTTATCTCATTCATTTAGATAAAGAACACATCAAAAGAACCGTCCATCAACAACCCAATAAATCCAATTCTTCAATCTAAAAAGGGGCAACTAACACACAACTCGGTAAAATCAGTTTCCCCTTCTACCACTCCTCTCCCCTCCACCCGTCAAGCAAACCCATCATTACTATTACTAAAAATCCCCATCTTCCACATCCACCCAGCTACTTCATCGCAAACCTCCCAATCCACACAAAATCACAACCAAAAATACATACACCCTCATACCACCAACCCACACATCTAAGCGCCACCGGCCCCGCCTTCCTCCCATTTTCCCTTCCTTCAAAAACTCCCAATCTACCTAGTACATAGGCACCAAATGATTCCACCCCGCTCATTAGGCGAACTCGGGTGCACTGTACTGTACGTACCTAGGCGAGCTAGATACTCCATATATCCGGCATAAAAACAAAAGAATGCCTAGCAGGAACGGTACCGCACGACCAAATGGTCGTTGAGATGTACATCCGAGTACTGCATGTTTTTTTACAGGTAGGTAGGCAGGTAGGTAATAGGTAACGAATTTTACATTTTAGGTAACGAGGGGGAGGGAGGGAAATACCACAATTTTAATTTTTACGCCAATTTTCAGACCGGGAGGGGAGATGCGCAACATGTCTATATGTGTATCTATCTACCTATCTTCAAGTCCACTTTAAAAAAAAAGAGGAAGAGAGTAGGAAATCTGAAAGTAAATAGAATATCAATCAAGGAATGACTCAAAATGCTAATCTACAGGTGAGGTAAAATACAGCGCCCCATCATAGGATTATGTTCAAAGACAGGAAATTCTACATGCATATGTACAAACATGTAGATATGCATGTAATATTTTTAGAATTTTCAAGTGAGATATGCAACATTCAAGACAATTCTCGATTTCGCTGCTGTCTAGCAGGTACTATGTAGCAGAAGGTCGGATTTTGAGTCTGGGGATCGATGGCTTTGCAAGGCTTTCTTTTTTCTTTCTTTCTTTCTCGTGAGGATCTTGTTAGTATACCTAACAGTATTGAGCGAGGTCGAAGGTCGATTTTGGGTTCTAGATACCTGCCTATAGTCTGAGTATGCCATGATTTTGGAAGTATTTTTAGATTTTGAAAAAGAGATGTGCAACAAGAAAGTTTGAAAACACGAGAGAGGGTTGGGGTTTGTTTGGGTTGAGGATTGGATATATAAACTCTAGAGGGGTTTCGAAGTTTGTAGATGAGTTGTCTGATAGTTTAGAAACCACTATTCGTGTTTCAAAGGGGATCAAGTCTCTAGAAGATAGAGATGAGGCCTTGATGGAATGGTAACTGAACGAAGTGGTAGTCTCGAGAAGACGTGTTAGAGAAAGTTGGAGATGATTAGAGGAGAACTGGTCATGGAGAAAAGAAACGAACGGAGACTTAGAAGGGAACTCCAGTGTAAGAGCAATCCCCTAGATTCCTTCATATGTGATGTATACACCTGAATGTAATCTCCCCCCCTTTATTTGTATAGACAACATATTGCTGTATGATGCCTGGCTGAGAAAGATAAACCATATACTTATCCTTCTCAAATCACCGGTCATCTGCCACTCACGACTGCATCAGAATCAGCCACTTAAGTAATAGACTAAAAACAGGTATTCATTATCATTAAAATTAATAATAGTATCCACTAGCTCTGGCTTTAATTCGACACAGAGCACAAGAGGAGCTCGACTCAAATCATCAAGAGAACTTTTTGCTCAAGACAATCTCATAAGATCTCTTCGCTTCCCCTTCATCAACAACAACCGCCTCTCCTTCTTCTCTGACCTGTCAGCGTAAAAACCTCCTCCCACTCCCTCATTCCCCCAAGTCCCCAGTTCTGCCCCCTCTTCCCCTTCCTCCTCCTCCTCGTAATCCCATCTTCAATCGTCATTCCACTCTTCACACTGGCTCCATCACTAGCATTTGTATCCCATCTCCCTCCATCCCCATACTGTATTCCACTCATTGGATCATCGGGATCGATTTCCCCCAACTCAATCTTCGTCAATATCATCCTCGCCAATCTATTAAAAACCTCCTCAACATTATCACCCGATAATGCAGAAACCTCCACCGAAACCGGTATATTTGCAGAACTAGCCCATCTAGATGCTTCTTCCGCACTAACATCTCTTCCGTCCGGCGCTACACTTGCTTTTAATTGTGATCCTATCCCCGCATATCCCGAAGTCGAAGTCACAGATCCGCCCGCCGAAAAAGGAAACGAGGAATTCTTGCTATTAATACTAGGTGGTGTTGCGGGCGGCACAGATGTATCTATTAAATCTGCATTTGAGTCCGCGAGATCCGTCTTATTGCCCACAAGTAACAGTGTAAGATTTGGAGAAGCAAGTGCTCGCGCATCATTAAGAAAGGTAGGGAGTCCGGTAAAGGAATTATGGTTCGTGATATCGTAACATAGAACCGCGCCAGCGGCGCCACGGTAGTAAGAGCGCGATACAGAGCGGAATCGTTCTGTTCCTGCTGTATCCCATAGCTTTTGTATGATTAGCTCTTAGCTTGGAGGGGACAGCAAGAAGAGGAGGGGAATGGAAATACCTGGAGCTTAATGCGTTTCCGTCGAGAGCCACTACCCACTCTTATAATCTTGCTTGCGAATTCCACGCCGATAGTTTGAGATGACAAGATCCTCCATTCGTTTTTGACAAAGCGATGTAATAGACATGATCTGTGCAACATCAATATCATATCCATATCAATCCAACCATAAACATCCCACTCATCACGAACAAATAGAAAATGTAACATACTTGCCGCTTCCACTTGGTCCTAAGAGTATAATCTTAGCCAAATAATCGTACATACTACCTAATTCCTGAAAATCCATTAGTATTGGTATGAAATATCTTTCATCTTGTCTCAAACTTGGTATATCTTCATGTTGGTTCAGCAATGAAGGCATGGAAAACAAACCTGATCTCTGGTAGTACTGGCACTCTCATCACTTGCGGCGGATGAACGCCTCGGTCGTACCATCTTCACCTATGGGTGGGAATACGATAACGGGATCAATTTTTGGTTGTTAAAGGCACAGAAGGTCGAGATTTTTTTGGAAGTTGTTTAATATTTTTACAATTTGGAATTTCTTGATTTCCTTCAGTAAATCGAGACTACAATAGGACGTGACATCAAAGTTGTCGCAAGTCTTATCGCATCGGTGTTGAGCCAATCATTTCCCGACGCTAGACTAGTTTGGATTGGCTTTATATAGATTAGAGGGATTTGATAAGCCGAGGCATGTGATGAGTGAGGTATGAGGAAGAAGAATGGTTTCGTGAATGTTCAGAACTCTTCTTTAACATATATTATTCAGATATTATCAAAATGAAGATTGATGGTAGGACATTCATTGTATCAGGCGGGTAAGTGAAATCATGCAACTATGAATGAATCAAACGTTACTAACAAGACCTACAGAGCTTCAGGCTTAGGCCGAGCATGTGTTATTGATATCTGCCAAGCTGGAGGATATGCAGCTGTTTTAGATATGAATGAAGAGTTGGCTGAAGAGTTGGTTAAAGAAGTAGGAGGTGGAAAGATTAAATTCTTTCAAACAGATGTATTGGAAACAGATAGTATCACCAATGCTGTTAAAGGTGCCTTGGAATGGGTGAAAGAAACTGGAAAGGAGGTTGGTGGAGTTATCGCAGCTGCTGGTGTAGCTACTCCTGCTAAGGTATGTCCTCAATGTTTTGTTTTTAAAACAATGTTCTGTTGAAATAAGATTGCCTTTAAAGTGTTACTGGCTCTATGGTAGTTTCTCATAAACGCTCTTGCGTCGACCATACGCAACCTCCAGCGAAGATTTCTAAGACTTTCCCTTAACATCCCCTTTCAATATTTTCCTTCAACATACCTCTACCAATTTCAATTCTCATTCCTTAAGCTGCTTTATTGTGGTCCCCTCTTTACCCGGAGTACGGAGTTACTAACACACTAACCTCCCCAACCTCAGATCCTCGATCGCGACCTCAATCCTTTCTCTCTCTCCGATTTTGACTTCGTAATGAACGTCAACGTCCGCGGTACTATCGATTTGATACGTCAATGTCTTCCCCACATGGCTCGTTCCACCCCTATGAATGAAGATGGTGAGCGTGGTGTTATCATTATGGTTGCTTCATCTGCTGCCTTTGATGGCCAGCCTGGTCAAGGTAATTTTCCCTTCATTATGTACTTCCACTTCTCATATCATCCTGAATTCAAGAGAGGTTCAAGATGCTGACAGACAAATAGTCGCCTACTCTGCTTCAAAGGGCGCGATAGTCTCCTTAACCCTTCCCTTAACCCGTGATGTCGCAAAACATGGTATTCGCGTCGTAACCATAGCACCAAGTCTTTTTGATTCAAGAATGACGGCTATGATGAGTGATAAAGTGCGAGCGAGTCTGACTAGAGTTATGGAGTTTCCACGTAAGTTTTTCTTCATGTCTCTCTATTTTCGGAATATCTCCTTCTCATATGTTGTATCCCACACATTATTTCCCCCCAATATCAAAATTAGAACAAACGAGTTAATCAAAAGAAAACAAATAGTACGACCGGGCAAACCCCACGAGTTTGCACAACTGGTAAGACAAAGTATTGAGAATGTGATGTTGAACGGAGTAGTTTTGAGATTGGATGGAGGAATGAGGATGCCGAGTAAGATGTGAGGTTTGGGTGCACTTTTGTGTAGTTTCTGAGTTTTATCATGGGTCTGTATTTGAAAGTTTGACAGAAAGTCGCAAAGATATTATTTTGGCGGATTATGATTCGTAGTACGTAGTAATTGTATATTGTATTGCATTTATCTAAAATACCTGTAAAGATCAAAGTATAAGAGTGTTTGTATGGCCAATACTACAAAAGTTGAGGATGAAATATACAATTACCACATGGAGATTGTAAGAGTTGTCGAACATAGGTACTCACCGTACAGCGTGATGTTTTGTGACATAATCCCTGCAAAATTCATATTTTCCTATATAAACTAAAATCTCATATAATTCATACAATTATTAATATTAAATTATAAAAACTTTGTAATGAATAATTTGAATCATTATTTATATATAAAATTTCGAATTTATTTTTAAATATTTTTGTTGAAAAATTATTTAAACTTTTAGTTGAAAAAGTTTAGAATTTTCAACTTATAATATTTTTGTTATATAAAATAAACAAAATTTTCGAAATTTTTCGAATTTTCAACTTTAACCCTTCAAAATTACTATTATAAAAATATCTAAAAATAAATGATATACTTTTTTGGATAATTTATATAGTTCTAAATCCCTAATATATATATTTTAAAACATAGTTTATAACTGAAAGCTAATTGGTCGAGAAAAAGTATGGATATTTTATATACGAATATTAAAATACTAGAATCTAAATTAATTAATAAATTAAGAAAAGAAAATTTATAAAATGAAATTAAAAAAGATTATAGAATTTTATAAATTGAAAATTTTTTAATAATATAATTTTTTTATTAATAAATTATAATTAATAAAAGAAATAATTAATTAGAAAATAAATTAAAAATTTAAAGATTTAAAAATTTTAAAAAATTAAATAAATATTTTTAATTAATTTAAAAATTTGGGATTTGTAATAAGAGATAAGAAATTAAAAAAAGAAAGAGATTAAAAGGAAAAGAAAAAAAGGAAAAAGAATTAAAAAGGAAAGAGAAATTAAAAAAAGAAAAAAAATTAGAAAGAGAAGAGGATTAAAAAAGAAAGAAGAATTAGAAAAAAAAAGGATTAAAAAGAGAAAGGGGATTAGAAAGAGAAGAGGATTAGAAAGAAGAGGGGGAGAGAAAGAAGGATTAAAAAGGAAAAGGAGATTAAAAAGAGAAAGGGGAAAGGGAGGGAGATTAGAAAAAAGAGGGGATTGAAAACGAAAAGGGATTAGAAAAAAAAAGGGAATTAGAAAAAAGAAAAGGATTAGGAAAGAGAAGAGGATTAGGAAAGAGAAGGGGATTAAAAAAAAGAAGAGGATTAGAAAAAAGAAGGGGATTAGGAAAAAGAAGGGGATTAGAAAAAAGAAAGAAAAAAGAAAAGGGATTAGAAAGAAAAAGGAGAATTAAATTTATTAGATTTATTAGATTTATTAGATTTATTAGATTTATTAGATTTATTAGATTTATTAGATTTATTAGATTTATTAGATTTATTAGATTTATTAGATTTATTAGATTTATTAGATTTATTAGATTTATTAGATTTATTAGATTTATTAGATTTATTAGATTTATTAGATTTATTAGATTTATTAGATTTATTAGATTTATTAGATTTATTAGATTTATTAGATTTATTAAAAAGAATTAGATTTATTAAAAAGAATTAGATTTATTAGATTTATTAAAAAGAATTAGATTTATCAAATTTATTAAAAAGAATTAGATTTATCAAATTTAAGCTTAAAAATGCCTTCGGCACTACTATACGAACTAAAAGCGAGAGGCTAGCGAAATCTATTTATTATTATTATTATTATTATTATTATTATTATTATTATTATTATTATTATTATTATTATTATTATTATTATTATTATTATTATTATTATTATTATTATTATTATTATTATTATTATTATTATTATTATTATTATTATTATTATTATTATTATTATTATTATTATTATTATTATTATTATTATTATTATTATTATTATTATTATTATCATTCGAAGTTCGGGGTTGAATATACCCCATTTAAGCCTATACACAAACCACCACTTCAAAAAGCTTATAATCTGAATAACTTTAAAAACTTTAAAAGCTTTAAAATTTATATTTTATTTAGGATTTTAAAAGCTATATAGTATAAGTGTAAACGTAAATTCTGAATAGTATTAAAAATAATTATAGAAAATATTAGCAAGGTCGTTATTATTTTTAGTCACAAAGAGCCAAGAAAAAGCTCGTCTTTCTATAATACTATATTTAATTTTATCTTATATAATTATAAATAAACCAGGGTATAGAAAGATGAATAATCATATACTTTGGTCGGAAAAGCGTTACATGTGCGGTGAGTAGGTTCCAGAACTCTTAGTATATCAGAATCAAGAATTCATCTATAACAGTGGACTAGATTGGAATACCTAGACCAGCGAAGTTGTGAATCATCATTAGTGAGAGAAAACGAGTGAGAAGTTTGTAGAGGTAAGTTCACGATGCAGGACAAACTTAGACAGGATATGCGAAGTATTTCATCATGATATATAATACAGATGTCAGCTAATGAAAGTTCTCCTACCGGTTCTAATAAGCTTTATCCTATATTGCATATAGTACCACGTAGTCGTTTCAAAAGTATAGATGGAAGAATGACGTAATGTGTCAATATCTGCCAATATCGAACGAGCATGAAGTTTCGATCCGAGATCCGTGCAATATGATAGCAAAATAAATGTAAGGTCATGAGTTTAAATTGTTTACCCTCTTTGAGTAAATCACACATTAAATCGCATACAAATTCATATCAATATAATCAAGCTTCTACGATAGTAGAATCCAAAAAAATCATCATCTCATCTCATCTCATCTCATCTAAAACTTCAATGTCCCCTGTCTTGTTTCATCTCATCGGCGTCTGTACCGATTATCCTAGTATCACCCTACCAATCGCATATACATTACTCCACAATTCTATCCAACGTGTATCATGAAAGGGGAAACTCATCCGAATGAACTTGGGTTTGAAGTTTGAAGTATATTAATTGGCGGTTCCTCAATTTCAATGGAAGGGGACTCCTGAATGTTTTCTTTCGTTTTCTCCTATGAAAGTATTGTTTTTGATCGATTTGAACGATTTCGCATACACGCCGTTAATAGTTCCAAACTTGGCGTGACGCTTTGGTTCAACTTTAGGCACTCTATCCGGATCTCGTAGTTCGTTTTGGTGATAGAGCCCCAGTCATCGTTTGGGTGACGGGGGTGCTGCGACTACACAGATTGGATAGTGCATGGATGGCGAGGT